ACCATTGCTCCTCCTGTAGGGCTACAAGGTATGTTTTTGATAGTTCATACATGACATTAAACTACTTTTCTTGTCATTGACCATTGTTGTTACCCAGCTGTTCCCTGCCATGCTTCAAGACACATAAAAGTCAGTGTGACCAGGCCCTACCCAGGAGCGATGTATCAAGCCCCAGAGTTGCACCTCCAATATCAGAGGCGATCTCAGCAGAGGACAAGCCTCTCGTCGACCGTCTGATTGAGGACCCTAGGCTGAAGAATCTCTTCCAACAATACCCAACCCTGCGTACGAAACTCAAGTTGATTTTTAGGACCACCGTTGACGATGAGAGGGAGGGGCCTCAGTCCACATCCCACAATCCACGAGGACATAGGTTCCAAGATACTCCACAGAAACGTATTGCACGTGCTTTGCGACTTCTGGATCGCCAGTTAGACTCAGACACAGCTGAGGCATCGGGTATGTTGGCATTTGCAGAGCTGGTGGCAGAGTTGGATTCGAGAAAGCTGGACGAGGACTCGGCCCACATTGGTGGCCCTGACTAGAACGACATCTGCTTTCCGAGGATGGCCAGAGAAAGGGGTGGTGTTGCGGGGCTTTTCGGCACCTTTTCTCGAACAGGGGATCCTTTTCTGGAAGTATCCTTTTCTCCAGGCTCATCTTCGAAATACATATCAATCAGCTTTTCCACAGGCGACCTCCTCTGAAAAATGTTGAAAAGGCTCCTGCGTCGCCGCCGGGGTCTGACGCTGCGCTCCTCATTTATGTCGAGCAAGCTTGAGTTGTCCAGCTCCGCAGTGGAGGATACCGACTGCTGATAGTCTTCCTCGTCCGAATCGAGCAAATTCAGGAGAGGAGGCCTGCGCTTCTGGTATCGGTATTCGAGTGTTCCTGGCCCATCCTGGATGGCAAAACTTTCCATCTCCCGGCGTAATTGGTCTTCTCTGGGATCACTTAGCGTCAAAGGCGTCAAAGGAGGGTTCGAGTTCAAGGTTGCGTTGGACGTGGATTGAGATAGCCCAGGAACAGACGGTTCCTCGCCTTGGACGAAGAGCTCAGCGGCCTCACCAGACCAGACTCCACCATTCCTTATCGCAGGCCTTGCGTCACTAGTTGTCATCCTCCTACGTGGCATCGGCCTGAGATGGGCATTTGCTGGTTCTCGGCACGCTTCCTTATTCGGCTGTTTCATGCTTGAAGTTCTGGGCGGTAACGTCCAAGATCTCGGGATTACTGGACTGAGTTCGTCATCCTCGGAGAAGTCGAATTGGTGATAGTCGCAATGGTCGTCTGTGAGATATTCAGGGATTTGGGCCAAGAGGTGGCTCATTTCGGAACTTGATTCGTGATAACTTGCTTCCCCAGGAGGGGAGGGCGATTGCCGCCGCCAGATAAATCGTTGGCGCGAGTGTTCAGAGTATGATTCTCTCGTCTCCGAGTATCTACTGCTGGCACGCGTTGGGGCTAGTTTTGTGGGCAAGAACTGCTGCTCCGCCCATTGCTTCCAATTTCCAATCAGTGGTGCCGGTGAATCCTGTTCTATTGCCTCAGCATCAGGTGGCAGACTTTCCGTGCGTAGGGAGCTCCGATGCTCTGGGTGGGCAAAGGGAGATGGTATGGACTGCTCGGAAGAAGTCGCAATACTTGGGATTTGCCTTGGTCTCCACGCTTTGGGAGGATGTGAGTCTGGCGGCCACCTCAATGCCGGCATAGGTTCGGTCATCTCCTGCGAGGTGTCTTCAAAGGAGAATCGCTTGGCAATGAGACCTTCGGATCTTTCAGAAACGCTTCTCGCTCGTTTGAGACGATCCTCGACTTCCCGCATCTCGGCTGTGTACCTGTCTAGACGTCTGAACAGGGAATCGAGATCCAGATCATCGTCTGGGTTTCTCAAAGACGAATCTGAGGTCGATGTGGTCAAGTCACCGGATCCCGTCTGATAAGCCGCCATCCATTCCCATGTCCGCTGCATAGCCTGACCGATCGATATGGTGCTTGCTCTGGCGCTGCCTCCGCCTGTTTCCCCATGATCACCAGAGTACAAGGACGACATTTCCAAGTTTGGGAGAGGATGTGAAGATTAGATGAATAGTCCACTTGATGCAATCATGGTAGGCGATATTATACCAACAGGAACATCCGTCATCAGTATATGTTGGAATATGCTCGACGCGTCGAAATGAGGTTGGCGCGCTCCATTGCCACGTTTTTGCTTGCCCACTTTTTTGAGCTGGAGCGAAGGTAAGCGAAAAGGGGGGATGGACATTTGCGTGAAGCGAGGCTCGACCGAAAACGATAGACAAATCTCGTTCCAGCTTGATCTCTGAAAGCCACCAACGGCTGGAAAGGAGAGAGTTCCTACATGCTGAGAGTATAACACCAAATGAGGCATAGTGGGCGCCGTAGATGACCAGGAGCTGAAGGTCCCTTCTAAAACGGTGAACGGGTGGCTTGAAAAAATTGGTGATAGACTTGTTGGCATTGCGGGGCGGCGCGCAAGAGACAAGAATCACACCGAATCGAGCATTTCTATCGCGAAGGAGTGGTAGAGAACTGGTGACAGAGAGACAACTTACTCGTGCACGCTCGTGCTAGCTAGTATGTGACCTTGGAGTATTCAGAGTGACATCGACAACAGACAAGAGGGGCACACGCTCGTGGGCATGCTGTGCCATTCCATTCGGAGTAACTTCTCTTGTCTAGAAGTACCTACCAATAATACTCGTAATGGTGATCAAAAATAGCCTTCGCCAGATCAATGAGTCGGTGAACGAGGGAAAATGGCCGTCGCCAGCCAGTCAAGCGCGGACACATCTCATCACGCGCCCTCATGAAATTGGAACGAGTCTTGTACATCAAGATCTTCAAGAGTATGTTTTTCCCGCGCAAATACGGAAGTTATCGCGATCAAGTTGGTGGGTAAATTGCAGCACACAGAATCAAGGCGTGGGTGTGGGAGAGGTTGAGGAGGATGCTTCACGCCCGACCACACCAAAATTGAGAAGCTGCAGCAGCCAAAGCCAAAGCACAAGCCCCAAAGCTTTTCGAGATGCACTGAGGGGAGAGGTGGAGACGCTGGTTGAAGGAACATTGTAAGTCAAATGGCCCCTGACCGGGATGGAACTTGGTGCCGGGAAGTCACCAGCTACTGCTCGGTAGAGCGTGGTGAATAATCGTGGTGACGCCTGCGACACGCTGGAGGAAGGGAAGGTGATGAGTATGCGTGCATATGTACGAACGAGTTCCGAGTGCCGAGTACAGAGGTCGAAGGAGAGTAAGGAGGAGGTGGTGAGGTTGATGTGGATGAGAACGAGATGTGAAGTGAAAGGTGATGGTGGTGGTGGTGGTGGTAGTAGTGACAGTGACTGCGACTGCGCAGGTGTTTGAGGGCGAGACTGCGGCACGGGTCACTTGGTACTCAGAGGTACGAGGTGCTCGTCCTCGGTACCGCACTGCTCTCAGACTGCGCTTCCTGGCTGCCTGGCTGCGCACTCTCCCCAGAGTGCGCACGTACTCCGTACTCTCACTACCATCACTTCACGAGAAGCTCTTTCCCTTGTAGATCACGGAGCATAGCCTTTTAATATATTCCTCATCGCCATTTCATGTACCTAGGTGGGCAATGTAGGCACAGAATAGGCTCATGTCGGAAGCAGACTCCCTTCCTATCTCGTCAATTTTCCTGCGAGGAGCAATTTCAAACACCTCGTCACTATTTTTCCCTGTGCAGGGTGCAGCATGCATCCTTTTTGATCGTGCATAGTAGCGGCGGGTGGGTGCTTCACAAGCGGCTCTCCACCAGAGCCTCAACCAGGGGGTTGCTTGTCCATTGCCAGCCTAAACAGGCCTAAAGGACCCTTAGAGAGCCCCCAAGCCCACCCCCAGCGTCTTAACCAGCATCAACTTAACTCCCCCGCCAATGGCTTGTTGCATGGTCCTGCCGCGGAACCACCAGCCTACAGCAGGTTGCAGCAGGCCGGCCTTTTCTCACCCTGCACCTTCCCACAGTGTCTGCTACTGCTACTGTGTAGTTCCTGCATCAAACTACCACTGACTGGCAGACTGGGTGGCAGTACCTGACCAGGAAAACTCGACTACTGACGTTATTGTTCGGAGTCACCCAAGTCCTTCTCACATGGGGCCGACCTTCTCATCAACTCACCTAAAACTGAAAGGTGCTTGGTGTCCGACACTTTTCCCACTTCCCTTTGCCAACCAAACCTCGAAATCCATCGATACGAGGTACTTCTAAATCCTTCATTCTCCTTCTCCTCCTCCTTCTGAAGACCCTTCAACCCTCTTCCCCAACCGATACTGTGACCGCAGGCGCAACCCCAACCTCAATCTCAGTCTTCCCTTCATCTCAAACAGCGCACTCGTCTCTCACAATTCAGGCCCTTCCGTCCAGCCGTGTCTCCTCCCCTCGTTGGGCCCAGAACCAACTCGAAATCCACGTCGACGGGCTAGATTACCCTCTCCACAGTTGATCCAGCCTCGGACCTCTGAGATACCCACCCTCCGCCGATACCCTACGGAGCCTGCTTGTGCTAAACCTCACCCTTTTCCTCTCAATCCTGCCTCGATCGACACTCGCTTCCGTTCTCACAAACCCTGACTTTGTTCACGCTCATTCATCTCTCCGAACCTGGTTTAGAGACACTGCTCACTATCACCACCTGAAACCGACAGACAATTACCACCCGATTCCCTCTTCCCACCTGCTTGATTCGTCTAGTCCCCTGTCCATATCTCTCCTCGACACGGAGCGCTGCTCGAACTTCTAACCTCATTCATCTCGTCCCGACTCCCGCTAGTTCATCACAAAGACCCATTGACTTGGTGTCTTGATGTCCCAGAAATCCATGACCTCCACCAGTTTCCAATTCTCTGGTCGTCATCTCTCTGCAACGAGTGGTTTCTCAAAGGACCAACCTGAGCCTGTCCAGTGCTGGTACCAGTAGCTATGCAGTGATTTGAACCTGACCCTCCAGCCCTAACCCATGGATTCACGTTCCACACGGTACCGATCACTCGACGCAAAGGCTGTTGAGCCACCTCTCAGAGTTAGGGAAAGGCACAACTCGGCCCCCACTGTTGATCGACGCAAAGACCAGCACCACCAAAGGCGTCCATCAGCCGTTGTCAAACCCTCTGATACCAGCCACCGAAGCTCTAAACCTCATGCTCGGGTCGACTCATTGACTTCTCCAGACCGTGGCACAAACACCCGGCGCTCAGATCGTCACCCACCTTCTGGCTATTCCCTCGAGGCGAAGCTACCGAACAAGGTACGTCTTGCCCTTCTGGCCTCGCCCTTTTAGCAGTCCCAGTGCTCGGTAGCTATATTGACCCTCGATCTGCCTCTAGGCGAGTGAATCAGAGTCGACCTCATCCATTAACTTGCTGGTGCTTGGTTCTCGCAACTCTGGTAAAACCAGCTTCATTCGAAACGCCATTGGGAAAGAGCGGACTCGAACCTCGATTGAAGTGCGGATTAGAGACAGGTGCTATCAAATTCAACTCTTTGAGCTGCTCTTCGAGGATGTCGACTTCAGCAGCGAGCGGAGAATCGAATGGCCACCATACATAAATGGGGTTCCTCTACCCGAAATTGACGGTGTCTTTTGCCTTTACGACGTCTCTGACAAGGAAAGCGTCGCCGACGTCCCGGCCGCATTGAGTAAGTTCCCACTCACAATCTTCCTGCCGCTGGTCTCAAACAATCATATCCCTCCCAAGGAAGCTGGGCCTCCCGCTAACGACGTTACTGAAGCCTCCATGACCAATACTGGCGTGCCTTGTATGCTTGTTGCTGCCAAATGCGACGTCGACGACGATTCCCGCCAGATCAGCCCACGCTTCCACGAGACTGTCCGCCGTAATCTTGCCAAGGTCGCCATTGCCGAAATTTCCATAAGGTCTCCTGAGAACACCAAGCAGTGTTTCCTTGCAATGATTCATCGAGTCATTGCCTCTCCGCGAGGTAAGTCGTCATTGCCATATGAGCTGCCCGTTCTCTCCGTCCACAGGACGGTGGTTCCTCCCCGCCACCTGAACTTCAATTTCTCATTTCGCTTCCCGTGTCTATTGTCTAGCACACATAGACTTCCCAATATATCATTTCACAGTCATGTTCTTGTGACCCGAATATCACGTCCGACATCTGTTACCACACGAGCAATGGACTCTTAGCTAACAACGAATCAAGCCTCTATCCGAGCAAGCAAGTCTTCGTATACTTCCACCGAGTCTTCAGGCAGCCAGCGCGTTGTCTCAAGGGATCCCTCGCCGAAAGCAGCTCGAAGCAGGAGCCGATCGAACAGCCGATTACAAGTATCAAAGTCTAAGGAACTACTGCTGAACCTTTCGGTGCGACAAGCACTCATTGAGTCTGAGAACGAATATAGTCAATCTTCGGAAACGGAGGATGTGGCTCCGGCCGGTCGTAAGGCCAAACTCAAGTTGGATACAACAGCTGTTCCTCAGTCCCAGCGCCGTCCGGCCGAGCCTCATACACCTATGTCTTCCGGGGACTACACCGGCAAATTGACATCCCCTCTCGAGACCTCGACAACAGCAGTTCCCGAAACGCCCGACTCCTATTATGTAAAATCAATGCTTCGTCCTGAGTCAGCATCCACCATTGACAGCCGGGCATATCAGACTTTCCTTAATATGGACGAAGACTCTCATGAGCTTTCCCCTCGGACTGAAGTGGAAGCTTTGGGCTCTTCTTTGGGCGCTCTCAAAGTTGACGAGGGTTCGCCAAACATCGAGCGCGGGGTTCCGTTTCAAGAATTGGTTGACAAGCTCCTCCTGCTACCCACGAACAAGACAGATTCTAAATTTGTCCCGTCCTTTTTGTGTCTGTACCGTGCTTTTGCAACCCCACAAATGTTGCTGACCGCTATCATTGACCAGTTCATGAAGGTGGAAAAAAGTAAAATGGTTCACTTCACCAAGGTCGCAGAGATGCTTCGCTACCTACAGGTATTGGCTCAATGGACTGCCACGTATCCCGGAGATTTTTCTCCTGGCCCTGCTCGTGATATCGCTATCCCTTTTGTGCAAAGTATCGAGAAGAGCAAAGTGTTCGCACCTGCTGCTAGAGAGATAAGCAACAACCTGGACACCATCATTCCCGATGAAGATTTGGATTGGGCCTTTAATGATTCTACCTCAGCATCGGGTAAAAAAAGTGGCGGAGGCAGTCATAAAGCAGGGACGTCGAGTTCGTCATCAACCCTGGTTCCATCGCCGAGCACTGAAAATATGGCAAAATTGGGTCGCAAGGGACGGCGGGAAGAAGATGAGAATTGCGACAATCTTGACGGGACGACTTTGTCTGCACGTGGATCCAATGTGCCTTCAATGTCATCCAGCATGATGAGATCAAGTAATCCCTCCAGTCAGTCATACGCAAACTTTCTCCAGCTGGAAAATGCGAAGCTGGAAGCCGAAAGATTCAGGCCAGTGCCTCGATTTCGCCTCACCAAGTTCCAATGGCATCTATTCATGGAAAGCACCCTCGACGACCTTGCCAGGGAAATTACACGGATCGATTGGACTGTGTACTCGGCGATCAGACCCCGGGATTTTGTTCGGCATGTCTCTATTTCTACCTCTCAGAAAAGGAAGTCCAGCTCCGGTGATAACATCGGCGCCATGGTGAAGAATTTCAATCATCTGGCCTTGTTTGTTTCTGGCATGATCCTACTTCGAGACAAGCCAAAGCACCGAGCGAGAGCTTTGGAAAAGTTTATGGCACTAGCATGGAAAGTGAGGCAACTGAATAATTACAATTCCCTCGGCGCTATCGTGGCAGGCATCACTGGTCATGAGATTGCTCGATTGGGGGCAACTCGAGATCTGATCCCTCCGGAGGTGCAGAAGCAATTTCTGAGGTTGACCATTCTCATGGGCATATCGAGATCTCATGCCGCATATCGCATGGCTTGGGACAATTCTCCAGGGGAACGAATCCCGTTTCTCCCCCTTGTGCGACAAGATCTTACGATGGCTGCTTCGGCAAACCAGACATTTATCGGCACGAACATCAACTGGAAGAAATTTGAAATCATGGGAGATGTCATTGTTGGCATTCAACGCAGTTTGGAAAACCCCTACAGCTTCCCCCAAAGGTCTGTTCGAACTGACGAGATCATCAAGTTGATCTTGGAAACCAAGATCGTTGAGGAGTCAGAGGTGAGATAGTTTACTAGGATCATGCGCAAGCCCTCGTTTCTAACCTTGGACAACAGGATTCTGCGGACCCACGCAGCGAGCTATACGACCGAAGTGTACAAGTGGAACCACAAGCGAATGGGACGGATCCTAGAAAAAAGTTCGATTGGTTACGGCGTTAATAACGGAAGACCTGAGTTGCACAAAAACATCAGCTTGTGAAAAGTTTTGACAAAAGGTCAGATATTGGTGTACAGAGAATTCGACACGAAGATAGAAAGGGAGGCTGGAGCTCTGAAAAGTCTCTTGAAGAGGCGGGCGCACTGTTGGCTCTATGAGATTATGATTTATGACAAAAGACTTGACGATGTTGTAAGTGACTGATTACGGGAGTTTGGAATGGTACAAGGGAGGACATCGTGGTCAAGACCTTCGGCGTGCTTTATGGAAAGGTGTTTTGGGAATCTCATGTCATGACCAAGAGCAAGGGCGATGGCAACACTCAACGCGTCGGTGTGGGAATGAAAAGTCGGCTATCGTCTTGCAAGGGCTGCACAATTGAAAATTGCTGGATACTGGTCTGCAAAGAATCGCTTTGGTGTGGAAATGTGTGGTTGCAACGATGGATGACCATGTGGCACATCCTGACGGTCGGCTGCACTGGGACCAGAAGGAGCTGGAAAGCAGGCGAGATTATGGCTCTCAAGGCGCCATCGAAGCGGGTGATATCAACGGGCGAAATGTGCTTTCTCACTGGGGATGCACCGGCGATCTTTGGACAACCACTCTTCATTTGCCTCAATCGGAAATGCAGAATGGCATTCTGTCGGGTTTGATGATGGGGAGACGAAAGGAGTTTCCATCCAATACACGCAAGGACAGGACCTGTATAGGGTCTGGCGATGCCATTGGAAGTTCCTGGAGTTATCTATGGCAAAAAGCAGAGCCCAAGGATCAAAAATGTCCTCAAATGAAGATTTATATTTCCCAGCGTGTTTCTCCTACCAGGTTCGAATATACGTGGTTGACAGGATGGCCCCGACACTAGTATCGAGTAATTAGACAGACGTCATCCGTGCCAACCTTCTCGTCTGCAGTAACCGCTTGACGCTTGTCGCTGCATGCTTCACTGAATAATAGTATTGCTCGTCATTCATGAACACCCACATATATTACAGATCGCAGTGATATTGCCCCTATCGGTCTGGTACCGGGCAAATTCCTCCCCCTCCCCCACCTCCAAAGGACTCTTCACCATGACATGGCAGGACCCATCAAATCCCATTGTTCCCCATTTGTCCTCAAAGTCCGACCTAGTGGGCGATTCCATTTTGTTTTGTTCCTCGGTCATTTTTCGTTCTCCATTGCCCTTTTTGGTGCATGAACATGCATTTTTGAGCCTAATTCCTTCTGTAGGCCCCATAGCCCTATAACGAGACGAAACATTCATGCCAGCTTGAGCGAACTCTTTTTTGGATTTGACGATATTAGATAAACGGGAGTGGAAGGTGCCTAAGGAGCACCCATCTCCTCATCCCTGCTCTTCTCCTCGGGACTGACGGCGTCCTGGCCCGGGTTCGCCTCCTCGTACCGGAAATACTTGACGAAGCCGTAGTAGGCGGAAGCCAGCAGGGAGCCCATGATGGGACCGAACCAGTAAATGTAATGGTATCCGGGGAAGTAAGGGGCCGCGACGGCGGGGCCGAAGCTCCGCGCCGGGTTCATCGAGGAACCCGTGTAAGGGAGGCCGGCCATCATGCCGACGAACAGCGCGAGGCCGATGCCCACAGGGGCCATGAAGGTGGCGTAGTGCTTCTCCGCGGCGAGCATGAGGATGGTGAACACCAGGAGCGAGGTGAGGAACATTTCAATAAAAACGCCCTGTGCGGGCGTGGTGTTGTTGCTCAGCGTCGTGCCCACGACCAGCGGGCCGGGAAACATGCATCTGACGAGGGCGGCCGCGACGATGCCGCCGAGGATTTGGGCTGGGAAGAGGAGCAGGCCGCGAACCCAGGGGAGATTCTTTGTGATGACGAGGCCAAGGGTTACCTGACGTTCAGATTCGATCAGTTTTTCGAGGTGCGCCAGGAATACCTCAAACAAGTGCAGAGAAAACATACTGCTGGGTTGAACAGTCCCCCCGAGATTCTGTAGAATGCCCACACCGTGACGAGCAGCGAAAAGCCAAAGGCCAAACTCGTCAAGGTGATCTGGGTCGGGGTATTGGCTACACCTCCACCTGTAATGGCCGTGGCTTGTGCACCTGCAAAGGCGAACCATAGGAAAAGCGTGGTGCCCACGAATTCCCCGACCATGGCAATGACATGGTTCTTTGTGCGAGCTCGACGTGACAGGAAGTCTCGATCGGGGTCATTGTTACGAGGAAGATGGTGGTGGTGGTGGTGATGCTGCTGCTGGCTGTTCGAGGCCGACGCTGTGGCTGCGGTCGAGCTGGACATATGGTGATGTCGAGCTGAGAAAGGAGGGAAATGGCGAGGCATGCTGGAAGAGATCAAGGGTTCGGGAAACAATGTTGCACGAGAATATGCTTCGACCTCTCTGCAAAAAGGAAGGGGAGGAATTTGGCTTTAGTAAAAGGGGAGTAGGGAGGATGTATGATGGATGATGTCAACGAGTGAGCTCTCTATACGAGGATAATCATGATACAAAGGTTTGCTTCACGGGCTAGTTGTGAAAGTGGAAACATGCTCAGCCTAATGGCCTGAGTGCTAGGATAGACAAAATGGTTCGATTCGTCTTACCTCTGGGCTTTGCCCTCAAAGCTTCTCGTCGATCGCGGGCAGAGCGACATTGCTGCCATGTGTCGATCGTGAGTCAAAAGGCGACCCTAGTGAGCGCCATGGCGCCCTAGGCCGGCCGCTCTCAGAACCCAATTGTCATGGATTTGTTGAAATGCGATGCTGTCACCGGGTTGATGCTGGAGATGCGGCGAGACGGTCCGTCCTGTTGGACCCTGGCTTGAAACTTCGGATGTGGCGCCAAGTAGCCAGATATGACATCAAAGTCCTGTCGAGAGTTCCCAGCCTTGCCAGCATAGGTCAAGTGATACCAATAAATCTGTGCCGTCTTTAGGAAGAGGCCCTTTCCACGAGCGGCTGATGATGGAAGTAACGGGAATGTCGATAATACAGCATGTTGAATACTTTACGAGAAGTGAAGACGAAAAGATGATGAAGCGCCAAGACATACTCGGTATGCCAAGAAATGACTGATTCCTTACGTCATCCATACAACTAGACAGCCTCACCCAAGCCTCGTGCACGTGCTCACGTTAACAACGACAAGGCTGAATCGACCGTACATCAGGCTGGGAGGACTCTCCAAGTTCCAAGTAGCCATCAGGCTGTCAGGCTGATTCCCTTGCAATGGTGCTCATTCTGCCTTGTGCCTGCTTCATGCAAGGCGAACGAGCTTTCCCCAAACTGGAATGTGTTCACACCGCCTTCCCGCTACACCCACGACAACGACGAAAAGCCGTCTTCGGACCGCATCGAGATTGAAGAACAACACCTGCGCTGTACTGAATCTCTCTGTTCATTGCCATCTGGAAACCATTTGATCTCAATGGCGCTTGCATCAAGTGCTACTACCTTCATCTCGCCGGCTCAACACGCTCCTGCCCCTATCAGGCTGAGCTCACTCCCAGTGGGCACGCCACAGATCTCCGTCCATGCCTCAAGCCCACCTGCCATCCTCTCACCAAGTCTCCTGCGAACAGCAAACAGCAACACTACTTCTACACCAGCGGGTGCCGCGCAACAGCAAGCTACGAGGACTATTCGAAAGACTAGAGCTTGTACGCTTCTGCCGTGCGGTTCTGCGCCAATAGGGACCAAGAAGAGTTTGGCAAAGTGGGCGTTCAATCTACTTCTGTTGGCGTCATCTATCCTCGGCCTTGTCTATATGTATGTCGACAATTCTCGGGCAGCGTGGACAGCAGGGAAGGATTTCCGCGAAGACTGCTTCAACCAGAGAGTGAGCTCCCATGTGCCCTCCAAGTCCAAACCGCTTTCCCACACATTTTCGAATCTTCTGAGAAGAAACTGACTTTTTGTGGTTGCACAGCAAGCATTTGGCAACTGGTCTACAGTATGCCATCAAACCCTCTCAGAAGACCTCGGCCGGCGTCCCCAGTTCTCCGGATTGTCGGTCAATAAGAGAGCGGTGATGCACAACGACATTAGCTGCGCCTCAAAAGGCTTGGTTCTGGTGGTAATGACCATCTTGTGGCTTCCTTTGCCAATTTTGACGGCCTATTGCACAGCCTGGTGGGCCAGAAACGCACATTATTCGTCTGGGCAGCGAGTTGTACCCTTTCTTTTTTCCATCATGTCTCGGAACCTTGCTTGGGGTCTGACTAGCCGGTCCTTCTCTATTACGTATGCACACTCAGGGACTCTTCTATTCTTTTTTGCTATTTACAAGATCGATGCCGATCGTGAATATCACGCCTGGAGAATGATTTACTGCGGACCCAAAGGCAAACTCAGATTTAGAGACCTGTTTTGGCCGGCCGGGGTGTTTTTTCTGCCTAGTGCATGTTCCTGTTGTACGATACCAGGACATGATAGCAGCAACCGTCCATTGTACAGTGAAATGGTATGAGCGGGAGCTTTACACCGAGAGACTTGGATGGCAAGATAGCCCTGAGCCGGGCCAGCTCCGTCGCGGGACGGCAAAAGGATGTATGGATTTCCCAAAAAAAGAGTCATATTGATAACAACCAAAGGGGTATCTTCAAGTCAGATCTATAATCGCTCTGCTCAGTCCACGTCCAAGTCATGTGTGTGTGTGTGTTTTGTTTTATTTTTTCAGTTTCCAATCGATATGTAACCACATTCGCATCGAGATAACCTCCCTCACTACCTGTTCAGATACCGGATCGCAAACAAAAGCCTGCGTCGTCCTCAAAAAACTCGGCCACACCATCTCCAGGGTGGGCTGGACGTCACTCCTTCTCTCACACCTCGACCTGATCTTGCTCCTCGTCATTGGCAAAGTAACTCTGATCAATCTTCAGGATCCATTCGAGCTTTTGACTCTCGTTTCGCGCTGCGAACAAGAAGGTATTCTGCTCGCCATACACGGCGAACACGTGAGCTAGGCCGTGGAGTTCGGCATTGCTCCCGGCTCTTCTGTGACCCCGCTGGTGCTGCTGCTCTGTTGAAGAAAATTCGGCACCGTCGTGTGAAATGGTTGATCCGCCGCCAAGTAAGCGCTTGAAGTCTGGGTCGTGATCGATCCGTGCGTGGGTGAGATTTACCGCGTTGATCCCCTCGCCGTCAGGAACGGACTGGATGTAAAGATACGGGGGGCGCAGGTCGACAAACCGTCGTTTCCACTGCATGACGCTGGCGTGGTTGCCGGAAGGGGAGGTCTCGTAAGATTCCGAAGGCATGAGAAGGTAGCCGGACTTGAGAGATGCTGTGTTCTTGGGCACATGAGTGACGGTGGCTCGGTAGCGGGTCGACGATGTTCGCGATGTCTCAGTCGTCGGTGTTGGCGACGGTCGGGGACACGTGCTCTCGTCGCCGTTGTCGAAGATGGGGTTCTTCATGTCGGCACTCGGCTTCATCCAGATGGCGAGGTATTTGCGTAGAAGTTCTTCTTCTCGGGAATCTATCACAGAAGGCGATACTGTGCGAGACCGACCTCTTTGTGCGGTTATACTAAGTCTGCGCAATCCCAATGCGGCTTTGGCGGATTCAATGTCCTCTAATTGACGCCTTTTTCTCCGGGCTATCAAGTAGTCTTTGACCAACGAAATTCCTCGTGGCTGCCAATTCCCGAGAAGTTCTTCTCCATTGATGTAATTCTTTGAAGTATCCAGACGCCATAGATCGGCTGCTCTCTTTGCGCTGATTGGCAACACAACAATCGAGAACACTCCGTCTGTGGCGTGTGTTATTCGAGTCTGGTTCCAAAATGATTTGAACATAGATTGTGGACGAACGTAGGATCGCGGCAAGATCTGCACCTGTTGGTCGATGGAGAATTTCATAGAATGATCGTGTCCCAGGCGACTGGAGACAACGTCCCACCGCAACGATATCTGAACTCGACAATTCTCGCTGGTGGCCCGGTCAAGGAGGAGGGTTTTGTGTAATGAGCTGTCCCATTGTCCTACAATCGTTATGTTGGACGTCCCATCGGCGTTGTCTTTGATCATAGGTTCTTGGATTTGTTTGAGCGGGATATCTGGGGTGACGGACGCAATGTCGGTAATGCGGCCGGATGAGTCTAGTTGATGAACTTCCCCAACCCGCAAAGACTTCAGGTCGTCCCATGGCAGACCTTCGGTCAGGACATGAGTCAGATTGATGGAGATCCGACGTTGAAGTCCCTGGTGCAACTGGAATGCCCCGATATCATTCGGGCTGTTGTGTATGACTTCCACGGGCATGTACAGGCCGTTTTCTGCGAGCTCTAGAATCTGGACCTTTGCAAAGACATCATGCCGTTCTTCCATCGAGTATTCAGACTCGGGCAAGCGATGAGATGGTTGCTGATCCGGAGGGTGTTCATTCATTTCACGAAGCTCATCCCAGCTGATCAGCTTGTCGAGATGCGTCGAGCTGACTTGGGCAAAAATGGCGATCTTCAGAGTGGCAGATTTCTCCCCGGACCGACGAATGCTCAAGTTGTGAATGCTCTCAAAGCGTACTGGGCCGTCACCAAACCCGTGGATGGGCTGGGTAGTCGCCACACTCTCATCATCGGTCCCTAGCACCGTCATCTGAGCATGCACCTGCGTCCCCTCGTGTTCGGCGAAGCCAACGAAATCACGCATAACAATGTTGAACTTGATTGTGGAGGGCGGAGACTCTGCCAGCGATGGCTCCAGGGACATCCTGACCTTGCCAACAATCTGTCTTGTCGACGGCGAGGATATTTCGACCACAAAATCTTGTACCCGAGTCTCAAACACAGCGGTTAGAGGAATGCTCCCGTCACCAATCAGCGAAAACAAGGGTTGATCAGAGTCACGGAAGGGGTTGTCCAAACGGAAATGCTGCAGATATTCTGGCTGATTCTTGTACTGGCGCATTTGACGCATTTTGGCCACTCGCAGTCGCAGCTTTTCCAGCGACCAAAGGTGAATACAGCTGAGCTGATTGTCAATAACCCTCACGGCGAGACACGGCTTGCGCGCATCCGCTAGAGCATCATCATCGTCCCCAGAGATGTCTTGGAGGATGAGATCATACGACGAGCCCCGTTCTTGACCAACGTCCAAAATGACAAACTGAAAATTGGTGTCGTGCTCCAGCAATTTGCTCATAACCTGTGCTTCCTTGAGAAGGCTGGCATTTTGCAATATTGCCTCCGCTATCAAAATGTAGTTTCTTTGTTGCCATTTTTCCACGACGTTCCGGGCAACGGCAATCTCAGAAGCCTCGAGCGGCAGAAATCCAGCTGGCGTTCGAGCAGCTTCTCGTATCCTGACATCTTGATCGATTTTCTTGATTTGTGCCTCGTATTCCTCTTTTTGTTTCCGAAGTTCTTCTTCAAACGCCTGTTTCGCTCGCTCCAACTCTTGCTGCATCTGAAGCGCCTGAGATTCCCGTTCTGCATCTTTGGATATGTTCTCTGGAGCTCCTTGCTTCTCTTCTTCCTCACCCTTCTGCATCTGGTGCTGAGCTTGATGTCCAAACTGGCTGGGGGTCAAGGTCGGTTCGCCGTCGTCTTGCGAGCTGTCGTGCACAGAAGGTGTCCCAGGGTGTGTCAGAGAAGTGTCGAGAGAAAAGTTGTCGATGGTGCCATTCGACATATACTTGTCACGCACAAGGAAAGAGCTCAGGTCGTCCGAGTCTTCATCATGTTCGAATTGTTTGTTGTCGGAACGCCCACGTCGCTCTTCTCGTGCTCTCTGAATATTCTCGAAAAGACTGTCCAGTTCCTCATCGGTGAGTTGCATGATTTTCGGATCTGAACCTAGAAGGGCGCCGGCAGCCTCTCGACGAGCGAAGAACCAGTCCGAGTCTCTGTTACTGCTGAATCCGGGAGACTGGGATCGTGATTCACCGTCAAATTCAGATCCCGCAGCGCTCCAGCTCCTTTCGTGTCCAGGACGGAATGGCGTCGGCGAGTTCAGCTGGCTGGCGGTGACGGATTGCCGGAGTAGACTTCTTTCGGCGCGCTCGGCTTTGGCCTCCAACGGGTTATTAAACCTGAAGATGTGGAAGTCTCCTAGAATGATACGATTCCCACTTTTTAGCCTCTTGGGCTTGTCAACACGCACTCCATTCACCATGACAGCAGCACCCTCATTGGGGATGATTGTCACCACGTTGTCGATGTGCTCGAGCTTGCAATGGTGATCAAGGATTTTTGACCCTTTCAATCTGATTTCAGAAGCTTCAGACGAGTCAACATTTCCGACTGTGGTAACCCCTGGCTTCAGGTTGTAAACGAGGCACTCAGCTAGCAGGGGATCGTCACTCAGGTTGACCAAGTGAGGCATCTTCTTAGGGGTGCTCATGCCGACATTACCCTTTTCAATGCTGATGCCCAATTCTTCCAGCGCCGCTTCTCTCTCTTTGTGAATCTGTTCGGTCTTTTGGAGTTTTTCTTCCCAAGTCTGATTGAGATCTTGGTATAACTTCTCACTTTGACTTAGCTGATCCATGATTTCGGCTTTACTGACACGCTTGACTGAGCCGTCCGTCTGCACAATAGAGACCATCTGTTTATCCAGTGGCGTTCCTTCAGGGTAGGTCTCCTCGGTACCTGTAGCAGTAGGTCCTCCAAGCTGGCTCCTGAGTTTGGCAAGTTCTTCTTTGAGCTCGCGGATCATGCGAGCGTTTGGATCCTCGTTAATCACAGCGTGGTTCTTGATTCTCTTGGCCGAATCGGCGTATCGTAGGGTGCTTAGTGTCTCCTCAAAATTTATGTCGGCCGGTGAGATCGCAGCAATCATCGCAGTCATGCTGTTACCACCAAGTGAATCTTTCAGGAGCCAGGTCAGCACCGAATCTCGATACGGCACTTTCAAGCTCTTTTTGCCCGAGGAAAGGTCTGCCAGTGCCGCAATGACCCGACCAAGGGTAGAGAGTGACCTATTGATCTCTGCTCCCTCCTTGAGACGGGCACCGGTGGCACCAGTTGAGGTTGCACGTTCGGAACCAGCCAAGTCGACCAAGCTGATCTTTGCGACCTTCTCAGTGTCCATACTCGTTTCCGCATCATGGCGCTTCTGGGTGAGGGTGAGGGTGAAGACCGCGTGAGAGCGACTGGAAGTTTCGTTCATGTTTGTGGCCGCCACTGTCCGTGCTTTGTTACCTTCATCCATGAGGTTCTCGATCTCGCTGAAGGAGCGGACGGCCAACTTGGCCAGATCCTCCACATAAGGTCCTGTAGAAGGATGTTCCCTGACTCGTAGATTGCCCTTGGTAGCCGGATTCAAAAGATCTCTGACCCGTTCGTTGTAAATTTCCAGATAGGAGACCTCGACAGTGCAAGTCAGGTGTGGATCAGACTGCAACCCATTGATGCGCTCGAACATTTCTCTACAAATTCGGGGGATAACGCCAGCCTCATCGCCATAACCCATCATGCTGTATGACTTTCCGGAGCCCGTCTGCCCATATGCAAAAATGCAGTTGTTATAGCCCTGAAAGGCGTTGTCGAGTAAGGGGACGCCCAGGTCGTTGAAGAGATTGTCTTGACCAGCATAGTTTGGATCTGCCTTATTGAAAGACCAGTAGGACTTGTCGAACTTGAAGGTCCGTTGCGCACTTGCGCCATCCTTTCCACCTTTTCGAAGACGGTCTTCTGCATCTGGAGGAGGTTGCAGAACGGTCTGGGAATCTTGCATCTGAACAATACATTTTGCATTGCGATCGATCTCGCGACTGTTAAACGGTCGCACTCTTACCACGACCTTGATGTTTCCCCCTCCACCCAGGCCGCCTGTTCCTCCGCCTCCTCCTCCTCCACCACCGCCCGTGGGCGCCATGATTGTACCGGTGTTATCAGTCTTGGGCAATGTGTGCTTGCATGACCATCATTCGGTTGTGCAAGGAGGGATCGGCTCGTGTCGGAATTGGTGGTGTGCGCGTTTTCTGTGGGTGAGGACAGGTCGCAAGTAGGTAGTCGTTGATTGCAGCAGTTGGTCTTGTGAATGGCGTTTGTATGCAGGCCGTGGTATGTCCAGAGATGGTGGAAGGGGAGCGTGTCGCGTTGAGGATTCCGGACACGACAGGTGTGAAAGTGGTATACAATTGGAGATTGATTAAGAAGGCCCCCTAACAAAGTACTTAGTATTGGAGAAGCAAACCCAACATGAGGCTTGAAGGTGTGGCTGATGCCTAGGTAGCCCTGCGTGCACTGGTAGCGTCTCTGAGATTTTGCTGCTGGTGGCACCCAGGTGGCTAAACGACCAGCCTGCCAGCCTACCGAGTGCCCAGTGTGGCCCTAGCCTGACCTGACAGACACAACCGTCTCCACCTGGATCATGACCCTCCCATTTTGCGTCATCGCATCAACACACCAAATTGTCGGCTTCATGGTCAGGTCGATTTTTTGGTGACCTACCCTCAGCTATCTGGCGCACAGACATATGATATGGTACATCATAACACAAGTACAACGATGAGACGGTCATGCTGCGGCACCATATGACGGCGCGATTGCCACCAATGCAAACCATCGTGTGATGAGAGACCAGAGATGGCCAACTCCTACACCACGAGGAACGGTCGCACCGCCAAAAGAGGGGCCTTCCTCAACAGTGTCTGGCATTGCGACTGTGAGCCGCGGATGCCAGCAGACAAGTTTCAAGTGAAAAATGGAGGCAAGAATCACGGAAGATGGTGTACGTGAATTGTCTGGACATTTGGGTCTTGTATTGATGCCTGGCGATAGTCTACACCTGCCAAAAGCCGCAGCACAAAAGGTGCAAGTTCTTCCTCTGGAATGATGATGCCAAAGTCCGTGAAGAAGCTGCTGTCCTCAGCAATTCCCGTACAGAGCCAAATGTGCCCGCTCCGGTGACACCTCAAAAGAAAGACCTTCCCGCTCTCCCTCCGACACCCCAGACGAGACGGAACAAGAAAGAGCTTGCGAATGATAAACATGACGAGAGTTTCGATTGGTCGTCCAGTAATGATGAAGAGCTTCTCATGGTAGAGCAAGATATGTTGGAGAAGGCGCCATTTGAAACTCCGAAGAAAGTTCCTCGCACAGAGAGTCTGACATTCCCAGGCAAGAGGAACTTTATGCAGACGACCGAGCAGACCGGTGTCGCCGACGAAACTTGGCCTTTCAGTGACGATGTCTTTAGTACTCCAAGCGCAACCCATGAGTCCAGAGGCAGCGGATTGCTCTCACCGTCCAGTACACCGGCTAGAAGGGCTACTGGGTATGCCCTACCTGAACCTGAACCCTCCACGCTTGCTTCTGAAGCTCTCAGTATACTGAGCGGCTCTCGACTGAGTCTGGAAGTCGAAAGGGAATTAGTGGATCTTCTTAATAGGCACGACCTGCGTACTCAAGGCATCATCAAGGGCCGAGACATCACACGTTTGGCTGTTCAGGCCAAAGATAGGAAGATTACAGAACTGCAAGCTCGATTATCAGCACTGGAAGCAGAAAAGGAAACAAACAAGAGAGTCATAGCACACCTAAAACAGGACATCGCTGCCTCTCCCAAGAAAGGCAAAGGAAGGAGTACACATCGGGGACAACAATCAGAAGCCTGAACATTTGATGAAGACCAAGATGCCCGAACAAAGGAATGTCTCCCTTGGGGTCTAGCGTGACATATCTTTCGACGGTGGCAAGGTCACACTATCCAGCATGCACGTCAGGCTTCGGGCCGCACAATGGACTGCATCGACCCGCAGCACATGGAAGACTTTATCACACGCCCTGCAACGTGCTTGCCGATAGGACGACGATCGAGGATGGCAGCGAACTCTTTTCTACTTTCGGGCTGCATGGAAAATCCCGTCTCTTCTAGGAGCAAGTTCCCATGAAGAAACATGTCAAGGCTACCGACGCTCAAAAACCGCTGCCCATAGAGAGCTGAGACTGCAAGGCACACAGGGACTAGG